CCGGTTTCGTCCGACTCCGGAATTGTTTATATTAAACGACATCGATCGTATTTACTAGGCATTGATGCATCCAGACGTACTAGTACGTTTTTTTTCATTGATGAAATGCGGCAGAAGTGCATTCGAAATATAAAGTAATGTGCTCCCCTTTTATCCCCTCTCAGCTCGTTCGAGTCTTCTTGCCGCAGATGCTTGGTGAGGCGTATGAGAAGGTTCACAACTGCATCCCGGACTTAATACGTCAACCGAAACCAACAGTTCCAGAATCATCATACGCTCCGTGTGGTCACTTGGTCTTCACCACATCGGTAGCCGGTCAAATAGCAGCGCCAGGGCTCTCAACCTACTGTGCTTCAAAGGCGGCGCTCTCAATGTTTGCTGAATGTTTAAGTCTGGAGGTGGCGCGACAGAACATTTCTGATAAAATTCATGTTACGGATGTTCGGCCCTTTTACATGAATACGCGAATGTTCAAAGGCTGTAGCTCGAGGCTTTCTGTCCTTCTCCCAAATATTGAAACAAAAGATGCGGCCCGTCGGATAGTATACGGTATCCGCCACCGCGAATTCATTGTCTAAATTCCAGACAGAAGAGCCGTGCTCCCCGTAATAAAGCATGTTGTGCCTAATTGGCTTCTGCATGTGCTCCTGGCCATTACCGGTGGTGATACGGCCGTAGACACCTTCGATGGAGTTGGTCTAAAGGGCTCAGCGCTCTGTCACCTTCTACCGTCGGCGTATTTTACTTGCGTTGGCCGTCGTCGGACTTGAACTTGTATATGTATATTTTAAGGGTAACAGGCAAGAAATGCCCTTGAGGACCCCTATTAATTTAAAGCAAACAATGTTTTCTTTACAGTTAATGTGCAGTTGGTGGAGGACATATGACAACATGACAGAATTTTCGAATGAATTTTCACGGAAAGGGTCTAGAGCCAGAAAAAGTGTTTACAATGCTGGCAGTAGGAAATCGTGTTGTCTGCGTGAACAGTCTGCGTGAACAATCTACGTCCTACCTCGTTTAATTTTCTGTCTGATTCAGTAATGCTCACCGCATCATTTCATCTTTAAAATAAAAAGTAATGGCGAGGCCCTCCAGGCCTAAAATATAAAATTTATTTATTTATTAAGGCCCGAAGCTGGTATATGCTTTCTGTTTTGCGTTAACAACAGTCCTAATCTCCCAAAGATTAACTCTCTTATTCCAGTAAACTGACCTTACGCCAGTCGTTACTCCTCCATGATAATTTCACCACTCCTTAGCTCCACATCTAACCGTTCTCGTTTTTTCACCTCCAAATATGTTTTTATTTGGAACACGCATCCGCGAGCACCAATCGGCAGTAAAGAGACATGACCGTTTTTCC